ATATATAAATTCAATTAAACTTCCAAAACACACAAACACACTCCAGGCACAAAAACTCACATTTTAAAGGGTTGAAAGGTGAATGTTAAGTTTAGCCTTTTTATCACTTGGCAAGGAAACCTTGTTGATTCTGAAGTTGTTCTTCAATCAGAGCTGACTGAATAATTATCTGACATGTTTGTTTAGTTCAGTGTTTATATCTGAACCTGCCTCTGACTGGATGCTCCGGTGAAGCTTTTTATTTTTTTAGAACGAAGCGACGTGCTGGAAGTAAAGTTTTAATGTCAACAGTCCAACAATGTTACATCACATGTCTCTGTGGATTCTCAGTCATCCAGGACATGGAAATTTAAAACAACTGGACTTCTGTTCTGTAGCTGAAGATGTGTGGAGCTACAGATTTAAACAGCCAGACTCCAGGTTGGTGTCCTTATTGAGCTGATAGAGCTGGTGACTGGAACACATGTGTAAGGATGGTTCCAAACCTTGACAGCGGTTCTCTGTTTGTTTCCCTGCTGCTGGTTGGTGATACACTGTACTCTCCTCCGTTTCCATCCAGAACCCCTTCAAGGTCTCCACCAGGTTTTGACGGCCTTCTTGTTTCCACATGTTGGCCACTGAAATCTCCAGAGAAACCAAGCAGATGTAAAGAGTCGTCTCCCCTCGAGTGTTCTGCTTCCATCTTAAAAGAATCAGCCTGATAGGAGAGAACCACGGGACCAAAATAAATAATGACACACGATAGAGAGCTAAATATACAACTGTAAAGCACTAACAATAAGAAAAAGAGCCAGAGGGGAAAGAGTGTACATTGTCCCAGACTTCACACAGATGAATGGAGGCTGTCATCCTGTGAAGAAGCTCCAAAGTTGTGCTAATATTAAAGTTTATTTTATTTATTTATTTTTTGGTTCTGCTCTTGGAGGAGTAAGACACTTTTCCCCTCTCTCCTGCCCTTCCTTATCTTCCCTGCTTTGCTGCTTGGAGCCTTCTCTACATTTTTCATCCGAAACCAAAAATTATGGATTTATTTTTATGGATTTGTTTAGCTGGTCTCAATAAATTTTTGGAGCTATTTTTTTCATAGGAGGACGTGTCAAAGGTGGGACCTCTGTTCTCTTTTCAACTAGCTGGATACATAGATTCTGATCACTGGATTCTACAGATTGGCTTGGTGGTCTCCTGGTGTTCTACAAAACAGCATCAGTGGCTATTCAGGCCATTTCCTGGCTGCCTGACCAATATGAAGGATTGCAGTTCTATCAGCACTCGGACATTTGCCTTGAGCGAGCTGGACTCGGTCTGCAAGCGGCTCTGCTGAGGGTCATGGGCCAGCTGTGGTTCATGGACTTTGCTGGCCAGATGGAACTGATTTTGGAGAAACTGAGAGCTCAGCTCGGCAGAATTGTCCACATTATTCGTCTGACTGGATTCACCATATTGAGGTGTACCAGCGGACATTAAGGCAGAAGGAAAACTGTTATCTGCCTGACCAAAAACATTTTCTTCTGTTCCAAAAAGACTGATTACAGATTTGTCATCCCCCCACGTGATCTTGAAGGCTGTGGATCGGATCTAATTTCTCCGGGGTGTTTACGTCGACTTGAGGCTCCTCCCCGTCTCACTCCGTCTAATCTGATCCCCTGAAGGTCAATCTGGAGCTGCTCAGAATGAATAATTCAACACCAATATGCTGAACTATGGGTTTTTCTTTTGGGGGCTGGATTCTTCGGACTATTTCCTCTAAACTCACTTACTCGTCTGGCTAATAAATGTGCTCTTGCTCTCAAGAGGTTTTTTTTATAAACACCATAGTCCATCCGTCCGTCCATCCGTTTTCTGCTGCTTATCCAGGGTTGAGTCGCGGGGGTAGCAGCCTAAACAGAGACCCAGACTTCCCTATCCCCAGGCACCTGGGCCAGCCCATCCGGGGGAATCCCAAGGCGTTCCCAGGCCATCCGAGAAACATAGTCCCTCCAGCGTGTCCTGGATCTTCCTCTGGGCCTCCTTCCAGTGGGACATACCTGGAACACCTCAACAGAGCATCCAGGAGGCATCCTAACCAGATGCCCGAGCAACCTCAACTGGCTCCTCTCGATGTGGAGGAGCAGCGGCTCTACTTTGAGTCCCTCCCGGATGATTGAGCTTCTCACCCTATCTCTAAGAGAGAGCCCAGCCACCCTGCGAAGGAAACTCATTTCGGCCGCTTGTATCCGTGATCTCGTTCAGTCGGTCACTACCCAAAGTTCATGAACATGGATGAGGGTAGGAACGTAGACCGACTGGTAAATCGAGAGCTTCACCTTCTGACTCAGCTATCACTTCACCACGACAGACCGGTACAGCACCCACATCACTGCAGACACAGCACCTCATTGGTGAACAAGACCCCGAGATACTTAAAACTCCTCCAATTGGGGCAGGATCTCCTCCCTGACCCGGAGGCGGCAAACTACCTTTTTCCAACTCAAGACCATGGTCTCGGATTTGGAGGCACTGATCCTCATCTCTGCTGCGAACCGCTCCAGTGAGAACTGGAGATCACGATCTGATGAAGCCAATAGGATCACATCATCCGCAAAAAGCAGAGATGTGATCCTAAGGTCACCAAAAAAGGATCCCCTCAACACCTTGGCTGCACCTAGAAATTCTGTTCATAAAAGTTATGAACAGAATCGGTGACAAAGGGCAACCTTGGCGGAGACCAACTCTCACCGGAAATGAGTACGACTTACTACCGGCAATGTGGACCAAGTTCTGGCATCGGTCGTACAGGGACCTAACAGCCCGTATCAATGGATCTGGCACCCCATACTCCCATAGTACCCCCCACAGGAGTCCCCGAGGGACAAGGTCGAACGCATTCTCCAAGTCCACAAAACACATGTAGACTGGTTGGGCGAACTCCCACGCACCCTCCAAGACTCTGCTGAGGGTGTAGAGCTGGTCCGCTGTTCCACGACCAGGACGAAAACCATACTGCTCTTCCTAAAACCGAGATTCGGCTATCCAATAGACCCTCCTCTCCAGAACCCCTGAATAGATCTTACCAGGGAGGCTTAGAAGTGTGATCGCCCTATATTTGGAACACACTCTGTGGTCCCCCTTTTTAAATAGGGGGACCACCACCCTAGTCTGCCAATCCAGGGGAACTGCCCCCGATGTCCACGCGATATTGTAGAGTTACGTCAAGCAACACAACCCCACAACATCCAGGGCCTTAAGGAACTCCGGGTGAATATCATCCACCCCCAGTGCCCTGCCACCGAGGAGCTTTTTAACCACCTCGGTGACCTTGACACCAGGGATTGGAGAGTCCGACTCCGGGTCCTCAGGCTCTGCTTCCTCATGGGAAGACGTGTTGGTGGGATTGAGGAGGTCTTCAAATTATTCTGCTCACTGACCCACAACGTCCCGAGCTGAGGTCAGCTGCACACCATCCCCACCATAAACAGTGTTGGTGGCGAAACGCTTTGTCTTCTGAGATGCTGGATGGTGGACCAGAAATGCCTTGAAGATGTACAGAAGTCTGTTTCCATGGCCTCTCCGAACTCCTCCCAAGCCCAAGTTTTTGCCTCAGTGACCACCCGAGCCACAATCCGCTTGGACTGGCGGTACCCATCAGCTGCTTCTGGAGTCCCACGGGCCAAAAAGACCTGATAGGTCCAAAAGACCTGTTATTAAATCATCCCATCAGCCTGTTAAATGTTGACATCTAACTTTAAGCGAAGTTAGCCAGGCACAAACAGTGTTAGTCTTATTTAAATCCCTACATTAAACTTAATAAATACTCAATGTTTTAATTTCCAAAAAAGTGGTTTACAACCATCCTCAGCTGAGCAATCTACCTGAAGCTTGAATTTCACCAGATGTTGAAAAACTTTTGACAGACTGGAGTAGTATTATCTGTTTTCTGTTTGAAGAAATTTAGATTTGAAGGGAAATGATCCTGTGGGTCAGATTACTAAACTGAATATTTTCATTAACATCGCTCTACAAGGCTGACCCTTCAGTTTTAGATGCAGGTGGTCAAATTTCAGGATAAACACTTAATCTTGGCAAAAGTCAGTGATTTGCTGCTGGATAAATTTCCATTCAAGATATCGAGGTCAGCTTTAGATAAGTCTACCTGATACACGGGTTCTTCATAGAAATAAAAATATTTTAAAAATTATCTTTTTGCTTATACAAACTAAACAGGATGACATCATCACTCCCCTCATGTTTCCCCCTTCTGGTGCTCATTCTACAGGTCTTTAGTTGTCCTGAGGTCCAGACTGGTCCACAGAGGGGATCAGGTCTTTAGTTGTCCTGAGGTCCAGACTGGTCCACAGAGGGGATCAGGTCTTTAGTTGTCCTGACGTCCAGACTGGTCCACAGAGGGGATCAGGTCTTTGGTTGTCCTGTCAGGTCTTT